AGGAAGATACCTGCATAAGATCTTAAAAGAAAGAGAGCTTTCATCCTGATTTTATTTAAAACACTGTAACTGGAAGAGATAGGATGCAGGTGCAAGGCTTGAATAGCATTGGCAGCATTAATGTCATGGGAGGTAGAATGCCACAGAAAACTAGAGGTTGATACTAGAAACTCAGCTCTTTAATGGATCAGAACTGAGAAATGTCCTTAACTGGTGACTGGCTAGTGATAAATCATTAAATTAAGGGACTTACCTTGCAGCATCAGTTTCAGTTGAACAATTCTGCCAGTGTGCTGGAGGGGAAAAGCACCTGATGGAGACAGTTTCTGCCAAGTGGGATTTGACATTCATGCTTATCCTTTGTCATAACCCTAGAAATTCATCTTGCAGAATTTTGATGGTAGATCTTCCTTTTGTGGTTTTCCGTACAACACGTGTCCAAGAAATGTGTGTGTGTATTATATATCACATTGGTGCAGAAAACGACTATTTTTCACATGCCTACTCAGTTGCCGCAGAGCTTCCGATTTGAGTGTCAGTCTCTTGCATGCAGCTCTGCTTGTACCTTCAGGCAGTCCTGGTTAGTCCTGATGAAATTGAGTGCATTCTTCTAGGTGGTTTTGATTGTAGGGTATTCAAGAAGGAGGTCTTGCAAGATATGATTGAGAGAGATAGAGGAAGATTGCCCACATTTATAATACAGAGTGAGTGCTTTGATAGGAGCAGAAAGCAGCCTTAGAGCCAAGCATTGCTTCAGCTTTATACTGTTGAAATAGAATCAATATTCAAATGCTTCTCTCTCTTCTAAAACAAAGATGACCTTTAGGATAGACAGAGGGGACTTTATTCAGTTGGGTAAGGAATAGTGTCTAAGGCTGTTTGATATGTCCTAGGGAGATATCCAAGACATCCACAAGTTGCTGCAGGTATAACCTGGGAATAACAGGATTGTTATAACAGGTTAGAATAACATCCTATTGGAATAGAAACTAGGGACAAGACAGGACATAATAACATACTCAGTTAGTATTGAACACCCATTTCTAGGCAACTGAATTAATTGCAACCTCAGCTGCTTTTAATGAACCAAGCTAATGCTTTAGAAGAGTTGTCTTGCACCCTGTTCCTGCACAGTTACAGTTGAGAGCTTTGCTGCTGCAGACAGTGAGCCACCAGTTCACCAGTGGCAGGCCAACTCTTGTCTGCACAACTCAAGAGAACTTACTAGAGCTTTTCCACCTTTAGGAGCTCACACGAGGGTTCTCCTTTTTAAAGGTGGGATCAATACTATATCTCCTTTTAGAAGAAGCTTTTAGCTTTGTAAAGGCAGTCGGTAGAGAGCACTGTATACAAACTTCAAATGAAGAAGGTTCTTTGTTCTCCCTCAATACTGAATGTTTATTTCAGTTTGCTTGCTCTTGGGTTATTGGCCAACTGGTAGATGGAGTTTGTTTATTACCTCTGAGTTTACATGTGCCTCAACTATATAATTGCCTCAAGTTTCTAGAGTTCATCCTTTGTAACAACAGACGCTGTAAGGTGATGCTGTTCTTCAAATGGTGTCCTGTTGGTTGCCGTTCACTGTGGTAGCCTGTTCTCAGTCTTCTGAAAGGGAAACACTTTTGATCACCATTTTTTCCCCAATGCTTCTCTATGTCAAGAAAAGGCAGAAATTAGCTCTTTTGTCTCTTAGTGTTTAGGTGTGAGACTTCTTGTAAGAAGTGTAGGTCAGGGCAGATTTAATGTCATCCTGAACAAGACTTGATGCTGTTTGGGTAGTACAGTGTTACCAAATACCAATAGTCTTTTTCTACACCATTTGCATTGTACTCTCTATGCGATAGTTGATAGAACATGTATGGATATAGCTGACTTGGCTAGTGAAGCTCGTCCCTGAGGACACCAGGGTCCACCACTAACCTGCCTTTATACAGAAGCTCCGCTATACACGGTAAAACCAAAAGCAGATTAAAACTAATAACTCTGGGGAGTAGGGAGGTAGTACAGTAAATTGCACTGCAGTAGAAGAGATTTCCGAGATCATCTGTTGCATTCGTCCTTTCATTTCAGGCAGTATTCAGAGAGTAATGACAGTTGTGGTTAATGTGACCATCTCAGCCACTATGCCACTTGATACAAAACCAGTGCATGATGTATACCACATATATCCTTGTTTTTTCCTGAAGGTTCTGAGTCTTTGAAGTCTAAATTGAACAACACATACAAAGATTTCAAGAAGAAGAGAGCAACTACCTATGTTACGTATGTCAGAAATACAGACCAGGCAGAATCAGCTTCTTTTCATTCTCAGAACGATAAAAACATCATTGATGTAGGCCAGGGAGGCGAAACGTATGGCTACGAAAATGGACCATTGACCCCACTTAGTTCATACAGGTATTTATTTCAAACCGCTGGTTAATTTTTCTGCAGTTGAAATCTAAATCATCTAATGAAAAGGTTACATATCTTGATTAAGTCTGTTAGAACTCTGTAATGTACATGTTTTGGTCTTTTTTTCTTTCTGTCTCCCTTTTCAACAGGGCATGTATTGCAGGTTTCACTAAAGTAAACTTCAGTATGATTGCAGCCGAAGATAGCTACGTATCGTTTTCACCCTGTTCTGAACCAGTTTTCCTGCCCCAGGATCCAGGTATAGTTAATGTCAGATGTAGGACTGGCAGCTAAGCACATACACAGTGTGTGGAGATTCCTTAATTATAGCAAGTTTCATAATATCAAAACACCTGTTGGTTTGTCTGCATGAACTGTTTCTTTCTAGCTTTGCACTGACTGTAAATTCATACCTTGCTAGGTCTGTGATCCCATGTATGATTCCCACTGCAGAAGTAGCCAAAAGCTCTGCTAGTCAGGGCATGGTAAAAGGGATTGGATAGCACAGTGAGACCTTGGTATCGCACCAACTAGCAAAAAGCAGCTGATGTTCTAACAGTTCTGGTAAGCTAGAAGCAGGTGTATTGGAATGCAGATACTGGTCTTTCGATCCCAATGTTTTATTAATTTATTATCTGTTCATTATTCTTAATGAAGTTTCAATACTGCTACTGCCAAAGGACACAGTAAAGACAAGACATTTAGTAGAGTGGAGTGTGCTCTGTCACTTGCCAGGTTCTGCTGTAGCATGTTGATTTCTATCATCAATGAAGAGGCAAATCAGTAAGGAGTAATACTTGTTCTATTTTATCAGGTGTTACTGCTGGAGTTGTTATTGGATGCCTTTTGGCTATCCTTGCTGTAGTCACAATAGGGGGTTTCGTACTCTGGAGAAGGAGAAGGTAATGTGTGTTTATTATTGTATTGGTTGTGTTGAAGAACACCAGTATTTCACTTTTGTATCTTTATCCTAAAAGAGCCTCTCTCTGTTTTGTACACTTCTGTCATGATGCTTTAAAATGCATTCTAGAAACAAGATTTTTAATGTGTTACAAATTAGAGTTGAAGTATCAAACCAGTTGTTAAATGGCTATTTAAGCCCCATAGTTCCAAACTAATGTGTTCAGAAGAGCCAAAAGAAACAAATCTGAATTCATATAATAGAATCATAGAATGGCTTGGGTTGGAAGGGACCTTAAAGATCATCTAGTTCCAACCACCCTGCCATGGGCAAGGACATCTCCCACTAGACCAGGCTGCTCAAAGCTCCATACAATCTGGCCTTGGACACTGTGAGGGTTGGGGCATCCACAAGGTCTCTGGGCAACCTGTTCCAGTGCCTCACTATTCATGCATGCTGATGAAGTAATTGAGTCAGAAGTGAGCAAACATCACAAACTGTTGTGCTAAAAGGCACATGTAATTGTATCTTAGATGGTTTGATTTTAAATCACCCATTAATCATGCTTTTTAATTGCTTGATGGCCTGTCACATGAAACTCCTTTTCTGGAATTTCCAGAAGCTGAAGCCTACGGTTCGAGCTCGTCTCTGTTTCCAATCTTTTCCAAATAATTTGGGGTGTAAGAGTCCACAAAGGCTTTTTCCTGCTTTTGATCATGTAGTACATCCTTTCTAAAGAGTAACTTAGTCCAGTTTTCTTAGTTTCTTTGGTCAACTGCTGCTATTTTTACAATTGTGTCCAACAGCTGTGTACAATAAAGAGTTTCCTTTAAAGTAGGAACATTTATTTTCATTCAAGTAGCACTTTCAGTATGGCTGACACATCATTGTTGAACTGTAGGGATTCTGGAATTAGTAGCAGTTCTCCTGACATGTTAGCTAGTGGTGCAGATCCCTCAGATGTACTTCTTCCCCCAAAATGTGTGCTTTAAGTTCAGGTTCCAACAGAAAGAAACAGCACAACATCACCAAATGAAGGATCTTATTCCAGGTGTAAGGTTTGCCACAAGAGGGATTTTTTTCACAGGATGAGATGCTTTAAAAGAGCTTGTTCCTAACAGACACAGGAAACAGCTGTCGTCAGAAAACTCATATGCATTCCACTAAATTCTACTGTGAACATATTGTATTGTTTTATTTTGCCTTACAGGAAAGATAAAAGAAATACTGAAGTGTCCTTTTCTCCAATTCAGTAAGTCCATATCTTTCAGATGTTGTTTACTGTGCTCAAGTGATGTTTGCAAAAATTATTCTGAACCCAGATACTTGTTTTCTGTGCAGTTTTATATAGAGTTTTGAAGTATTAATTCCCCATGGCATTTAAAGACTCCAGCCTGCAGGCTAAAAACAGTCATATTGATTGAGACTTCTGGAGCCATCACAGGGATTTGAGTATTCACTTCATGAATCACTGTTAGACAAACAAATGCTCCATGTGGTTTTGAAAAACAGGATGTATGGATGAAACATGGGCTTCGTGCACATTGAGGGAGTGATCCAAATGATAAAGTTCACATAAGCAAAATATTCACTGACACCTGATTTCTTTTCGTTTTCTTTTTATGAGCCATTAATTCAGATAATGTGATTGGAAAAGCTGGCCATGGTGGGGGTGTAACCATAATCTGTTGGAAGTCACATGCAGTGCAATAGTGCAATTGAATCACATTGTTGGTTCTTGCATCAGTTTTTGTGCTGATGGAAAGACATGGCAAGATAATTCCCCCTGCATAAACTTTGATAGTTAAAATAAAATAGACCAGGGAATGGGGCCAATCTGATGGCTAACTGACACCTTCTTTGTGATGTTCCTCTCCTGAAGGATGTACTACTCTCTCCTTGGTTTAACAGAGCAGTTAAATTCTATGCTTGGTGCCCTGTCCCCTGTAAATGCAGTTTTGTGTCTGCAACTAACAGTCATGCTTTCATTCTTAGATTCACATAATGAAAAATACAACTGCATGGGTCTAATCAACCTTTTTTTTCTTTCCCCCACCCTCCCCTGAAGAGTCAGTAAGTAAGTAAAGCACACTTTCTAACACAATAACTGAATTAATTCATGGCTTATTTACCTAGTATCAGTTGCTGATACATGGCTTTTCTCATTCTAGATCAAAGAAGATGAAAGTGGAGTCCTTTGAGTCCTACTTCAAGAAACAGCAAGCTGACTCCAACTGTGGTTTTGCTGAAGAGTATGAGGTATGTGCCCTCAGTGGAGAGAGCTTCATAAAGAGAATTTTGGGAAAGACAAATCATCTTTCCTATGGAGCAAATACAAAGCTTACTGAAGGTAAAGAGAAAGGTCCTGTATTACAGAGGTTAAGCTGTATGTATAGCCTTCCCTTCCCTTATGCAGCTCCAAATTCAGTTGAAATGCATGATAAATACTTTATGTCCTGAACTGTATCTCTACCTGTGAACTTGTAGCGTGGTCTGCTGCTCAGAGCTCTCATGAGAGACAAGATCTCCTGAGTCCTTGCTCTAGTCCAGTACAGAGTTAGCCTAGGGGAAGCTATTTAACTTCACTGCTCTTGCTAATATCACTGACTTCTTCAGTATGTAGGTGTGATTTGCTAAGCACACCTGTGAATTACTCAAAAGCTGGCAGAGAAGCAGCAATGATGATTTGCTCACTGACCATAAATGTCTGTCTATGAAATGTGCTAAAGCTCAACTGTTATAAGGTACAAAGGACAGGAAGGAAGTGTCAGGAAGGATTCTGTCTTGTCATGTCTGCTGTTAATCTAATTTTTTCCCTCATCTCCCTGAAGCTATTAATTGATTTTCTTCTTCAAATTCTGTCTCTCTGATTGTTAAGATGGTGCTCCACCTTGCCTTCCTCTCAGATTTTGCTTCCTTCAGTGCTTTCATGACGTGTTGCTCCGTTTCTCCCTGTAATGTCTGCAGAGCTTATGTGAAGTAGTTCACTGCCTTGGGGGCAAAATGAGTGTGCTGTGGTTATCAGTGTCATGTTTCTGCAAAGCTGTTTCCAGGCTTTTAAACCCCATTTCTAGATTTTTAACACACTACTATTTGTATGTTTTCTATTAATCCCTTCTCTATCAGGTTTGCCACTGTCACCCTCCCACTCTGTAATAAGATGATTTTTATTGCCATTTATCCCAGTTTAACATGCCTACTTGTACAGCACAGGCCACCAGTGTGTGGAGTATTTGTCATTTGTCACGTGTTTCTGTATGATTCCTGAACCAAAACTGGGTGTTCATGAATCCTTTTATTGTAGGAACTCAAGTCTGCTGGTGTTCATCAGCCCAAATTTGCTGCTGAACTTCCTGACAACAGAGGAAAAAACAGATACAACAACGTCTTACCATGTGAGTTACTCTCCTCAGATTTGCATCTTCTGCTGGTTGAGTTTTTAGGTGAAAAACCTTAGGTTTGACTAATCTGGCTTTTATAGTACCCAAAGGTTTCAAATGTCATCAATTTCCAAATGAATTAATTTGTTCTGCTGCTTTCCCAAAATCACTATATAAGCAAACCTGAAAGAGTTTTCCCTCAATGATGTTTCTCAAGAAAGCTCCTTTAAGGAACTTTCCCTTAATTAAATAACTTTAATTTTCCATTTGGGAGAAACTTGGACTCCAGCTTGAAAACACAAGAGGTTCACAGTTGACCACAGACAGGTATATATGCAGAGCTGTGGGAAATGCTAAGACCCTGCTGGCCAGTTTGCAGATGAACTAAGAGGAGTCTCAGCTCTGACAAGCAGCCTGTGGGCATCTCAGTGTAGCACAGTGTAAGAAGGATCTGAATGGTGAACAGTGGCAGGTATTTAAGGATGCTTTGGGGGAAAAACATCAACTGCACAGGCAGCGGGAGACAAATTGCTTTTAAAAAAAAATCTAGTCATTAAAACTGTAGTAAATTTTATGTTGGAATAAAAATACATAAATAGGCAAAACCCAAACCATGTTTAAAAACATTTGAGTATTCTGAATGTTTATCCTGGTCACATAAAATGCACATTTTTCTAAAACACCTTTTGTTTAGAAACCATGCATAAGCTAAGCAGTATTTTGCTGAAAGGTTCCACTTCGAAAAGTCATAATTGTGTTTTCCTTTTTTCTTTCTGCAGATGATATTTCTCGTGTTAAACTTCCAAATCCAAATGCTGAAACTGATGATTATATTAATGCAAACTATATGCCTGTAAGTTGTTTCATTAGTTGCAATGAAATGTGTGTTTTTCTGATGTAGGCTTAACAGCTCATAATGATGTTTAAAGTCAGCATATATGTAACACTGATACACCTGTGTGTGTGTATCCAAACATGCTTATTTTGGGTTTTCTCTTCTTAGGGCTATAAGTCAGAGAAGACATTTATTGCTGCACAGGGTCCTTTACCCAATACTGTAAATGACTTCTGGCAAATGATTTGGTCCAAGAATATCTACTGTATTGTTATGTTGACAAAATGTATGGAACAAGCTCGGGTATGTTTTTATCAACACTGAACTGTCTCTTGAATGCAGCTTGATCTCTTCTAATGTTATTGTTACCCTAGTAGCTTGGAGACTGACCACTTTCTTGTAACAACCATCCTCTTGATGAAAGGCTGTTTTCTAAATTAAATAAGCACATATTCTTTACATATTTATTTCTCTTTTCTTTACCTTTTTTCCCTTTTCTTATCTGCTGACTGCCAGAATAGATTGTCTCAGGAGGGTTGTGGAATTGCTGTCTTTAAGGATGGGTTCTTCTCTCTAAAGAATTATTTTGGTAGAGCTTCTCTTGCTTTGGAATAGCCCTTGGGAAGGGTGATGTGCTTTTTAACCCTGCTTCTGGTAGTGTGTTATTTAAAACTGAGAGTCAGTTGCTTCATTGCAGTGTGTGTAACTTTGTAACTCTCTCCTTAGCCAAAATGTGAGCAGTACTGGCCAGACAAACAATCCAAGAACTATGGTGGCATTGTTGTGACACTAGTATCGGAAATTGTCCGTCCAGAATGGACAATAAGGGATTTCACTGTAGAAAAGGTAAGTACTGCCTTGGTTGTTAGTGTATGAATAGCCTTGTGCTTATGGAGATACTTGTAGTATCTGCTGGACTGAACAATTACCCCCATCAGCAAATCCAATGCAGCAGATATGAGCTTGGAGTAAAGTAGAAGGAAATGATTTCCAAGTATTCTCTACCACAGCAGACGGAAGAGGGAATCTGAAATAACATTCATCAAATCACTGCACAGTTTGTAACAGGCAGCTTTAATGAATCTGAGCTTGGCCCAGTACATATGGCAGGAAGCCTTCTTGTTGCTCCTCTGAAGCTGGCTTTCCTTTTGTATGTTCCTGTAGTCCAGCAGTACAGTGGCCCGCACGGTGCGGCAGTTCCATTTCACCTCCTGGCCAGATCACGGAGTGCCAGAGACAACAGACCTTCTCATCAACTTCAGAGACCTTGTTCATCAGTACAACAATGAAAATCCAACTGATTCTCCTATTCTGGTGCACTGCAGGTAGGAAGGATATGTTTCTGTTAGAGACACTTTTGTCTTGGGTCTTTTTTACAAACAACTCTTTTCCGATGGGAATAAACCAGAATAAGTAACTCTCGTTGCTTAAGAACATGACCTGTTTACCCAGACAAATTCAAACCTTGCCCCTGTGCTTCAGAAACTAGTAATGCTATGTAGGTAGCAAAGGAAGTCATAAAAAATTTCATTAGAATAGACCATCTCTCCTAGCCTGGAAAACTTGGCAGGAAAAGTTGTCCTTTCAAGTGCTTTTATGCATTGTCATAGAATCATCAAGGTTGGAGGAGACCTGCAAGACCATCAAGTTCAACCATTAACCTACCACTGTCCTGTAACCCCTAAACTCTAAACCATATCCTCCGGCATCAGATCCAGACACCTCTTAAACACTTTGAGGGATGATGACTCCACCACCTCCCTGGGCAACCTATTCCAGTGCCTAAACACCCTAACAGGGAAAACATTTTTCCTAACATCTAATCTGACTCTCCCCTGTCTGAGTTCATGGCCATTCCCTCTAGTCCACTCCCTGCAGCCATGGCAGGAGACACCATCCCCCACCTCTCTACAACCCCTGTCAGGTAGTCAGAGAGAGCCATGACATCACCCCTGAGCCTCTGCTCAGGGCTAAACCAAACCAAATTCCTTCAGCCTGTCCTCACCAGACATGTGTTCTAGACCTTTCCTGAGCCTCGTTGCCCTTGGCTGGTCTTGTTCCAGTGCCTCGATGTCCTTTCTGAAGTGAGTTGCCCAAAACTGAACACAGCACTCAGGTGTGACCTCACCAGTGCCGAGTACAGGGGGATGATCACTGCCCTAGTCCTGTTAGCCACACTATTCTTGATCCAGGCCAAGATGCCATTGGCCCTCTTGGCCACCTGTGCACACAGTTGGCTCATATTGAGCCTCTGCCACCAGCACTGCCAGGTCTCTTTCTGATGAACAGCTCTCCAGCCACTCCTCCCCCAGCCTGGAGCTGCATGACGTTGTTGTGTCCCAAGTGCAGGACCAGCACTGAGCCTTACTGACCCTCATGCAGTTGTCCTCAGCCCATTGATCAAGTCAGTCCAGGTCTCTGTAGAGCTTTCCTACCCTCAGGCAGATCCACACTCCCACCCAACTTAGTGTTGGCTGCGAATTCACTGACAGTGCACTCAGTCTTGTGCAAGTGCAAGGCTGAGAAGCCCAGAAGCATATTCTGCTGCCGCCTTGGCAGTGGCTCTCTGAGCTGCCAAGACTTTTAGTACCTGTGCCACTGACGTAGTAGGAGGCATTGGGCTAGCTTCACTGGCTTTTCATCAAGGCAGTGGTGAGGAGGTGGTTTAACGCAAGTAGTAAATAGTCTTTCTGTGTCATTGCAGTGCTGGCGTTGGGAGGACAGGGACGTTCATTGCCATTGACTACCTGATTCAGCAGATGGAAATGGAGAACGCTGTGGATGTGTATGGAGTGGTGTATGATCTCCGCATGCACCGACCTTTAATGGTGCAAACTGAGGTAAGGCTGTATCTGATCCAGCAGCATGCTTTTCAAATAATTCAGGAAGCATGGTCTCAAGATGTAACTCAAAATTACAGGAAGATAAGGAGTTGAAATTGCTCTTTATTTAACTTCCATCCTTGCTGCCTTATCTCTTCCCACAAAAGTAGTTGCAGCCAGGGGCCATAGTATGTCCAAAATCTCTTTAGAGAGTAATTATAGGACTGGCTCTTGTACCTGGAAAGAACCAAATCCTGAAGCAGGCTCTTTTGCAGCTTGTTTTACCCACGTGGGTTTTATCTTTCAGCTGTGAGCCAGAATTATCTCAAGTCAAGGGGTCTTTGTGTGGGGCTTTTCTTTTGTGTTCTGCAGGAATACAAGGGAGTGGTCATAAACTGAGACAGGGGAGATTCAGGTTAGATGTTAGGAAAAATGTTTTCTCTGTTACAGTGATCAGGCACTGGAATAGGTTGCCCAGGGAGGTGGTGGAGTCACCATCCCTGGAAGTGTTTAAGAAGCAGCTGAATCTGGCAATGGAGGATACGGTTTAGGGTTTAGGGTTTCCAGCAGAGTAGCAGGTTAATGGTTGGACTCGATGATCTTAGAGGTCTTTTCCAACCTTGATGATTTTATGATTCTAAGTGTTCCTACTGAAACTATCAGTTTGATCCAAAAAGGTGTGTGACCTAACTAAAGCTGATTTGAAAAAGGCTGTAAAATCTCCATCATGAAAATCTCTTAAGAGGGTGTTAGGCATGACAGTAAACTTGATCCTAGTTTTTTATGGGGGGGTATCAGATGACATGAAGTCCTTTCCAGCCCTATTTTCTATGAATTTTACATACAAGTTCTAAAACATACTCTGTGATAACATTCAGTGCAGTGCCAAAACCTATATTCAGAAGAAGAATTATTTCCAAAATCAGGTGTTTTCTAGAAATGCATTACTTTCTCTTTTTCTCCCATCAGGACCAGTATGTCTTCCTAAACCAGTGTGTTATGGATATGATTAGATCCAAGAAATACAAGAAAACTGATCTTATTTACGAAAATGTGCCAGCAATGGCAATCTATGAAAATTTCACACCTGGGTCAGACTTCGGGAAGGCCAATGGCTACCACTTCTAGCCCAGAAGGAATGCAGTGCTTCCAGGAGGTGTCACCTGCCCATTGGAAAGGGAGGGGATCTTTTCTGGGATTGTGTCCAGTGTCTCATGTCTGGCTGCTGCAGTTCTGTCTGCATTTGAAGATGTCATCTACAGGAGGAAAAACACGATGCTGGCAGGAGCTGTGGATTGATGCTAAAAAAAACCACAACACAAAACAAGCGAAAACTATTTGAAGTTAACAGAGGAATCATGCTTTTTCTTGGGAATTTAACAGTACTGATAGGTGAAATAGCATTTGCAGTATGAACAGTGAACTAGAATTGAAAGATTTAAAAAAATAACACAAGCTTTTTATTATAATTTTATATGATTTCATTTACAGACACCAGGCTTGTGGGCTGTTTTAATATATTTAATTATAAGTTTCAGGAACATATTTTATCTACTGTATTTGGTTACTTAGTTAATAGATATGTGCCTCTGTGATTTATTTTTTTCTGTGTTCCTTTTTATTTAAAAAAGGAGGACGAACAGCTCCTTCAAATGGACATTTATACTTGGAAATTGTGCCTTTTCTAGTTGCTACTCTAGAAAAAAAACAGCAAAGATTCTATTTTTGTACTGAAACTCTTACTGAGAACACAGATTTTTAAATAAGGCTTTTGTCAAACTTAACTGTAGTTGCACTGTTGGCAGGACTCTCCAGAAGTTTGGAGGGGAGGTTTGTTTTTGCATTTCACCATAACTATCCCCTGCCTTAATGTTTCGGTGCCTCTGCCAGAGGAAAAGGAGTGTGATCTGTCACTCCGAGCTTTAACTGTAGTAAAAAACCAGAACAAGTGAATCTGTGAATGTGTGTGCTGGGGGGGTGGTGTGTGGGTGTGTATGAAGGACAGAACAGCTCCTCCCTCCTCCCTGTTCCTGGCTGATATTCCTGGTTTTATACAATTTATAATGATTTATTTAAAGGTGCAATATATGATTTACTGAATAATGCTCACTCTATTCTGATAGAGTTTTACTCAGGTTGGTGTCTTTTTATCATTGTTGTTGTTTTTTCCTCAAATATATAGATCTGTGAAAATGGTGAAACTAAGGTTCCAAGTGTTCAAGCACTCCCAAACGGATCGACTGGCTTTACTTTTTCTACCAAAATACATTGCACAAAATTCTGCTGTAAAGACCAATTTCTCTGTTGTTTTAGCCATTCAAAACTGAGACACATCTTACCTGCCTGCATCTCATTGATCCAATGGAATTGTTTTGTAATGATTTGCAATATACTGCTGCTGTTGTTATAACTGGTCCTTTTAGAAGCAGAACAAACAAGCAGAAATCCCCCAGTTGCTGATTTCACAAGTGGAGGATCAGATTGGATTTATTTTGCTGGTACAGAACTGTTAGACTTAGGAAGGTATTACCAATGAAGGATTTAAGTAGCTTGGGGAGGGGAGGGCATAGTTTTCGGTCTTTGGATCATTGCACTGGTTGCGTTGCAGATGAATATGAAGTTTATGAATAATGCTATAGAATAGCTATAAAGTGGTGAAAAATCTTATGAAGGTTTAATAACCAGAGTCCCTGGAATTCTGCTGCTTTTTTGTTGTTGTTGTTTTGGGATTTTTTTTTAATTTGTTTTAGCTGAGTTGTCAAAAAAAGCTACAGATGTTTAGGAGTAGACATGGCTTTATGTATATGTGGCTTTACAGTGGAACCTGGCAACCTCGCAGGATCCAATGCTAGCTGAAGGAAAATGTAGGAATTCCTGGTGCACAACTGTAACTACGGATATCCTGAGGAATCTTTGACAACCTGTTGTGAAATTGTGGTGTGCTATGTGAGCAAAACTGGAGGACAAACCACAGTGCGCTTCAGCTTTTCATTCTTTGTTTTGTTTTGGGGTGGGTTTTTTTTGTAGCAGCCACTTGTGGTTTCTTGAATATTTTTTCTCTCTTTCTCTGAAGTACTTTAAAAAAATAAATTTTAAAAAAACACCACAAGGTTAATGATCCTGCCCAGTTCCATCCACACTGGCAGTCCACAAAGTGGATCTCTCACATGCATTCTTGCTAAGCTGCTGTCAGATGACAAAGGTAAACCACTTGGACCAAACAGAACCATTCCAAAGGAACTGGGAGGGAGGAAAGTCTGCCCCTTACAGTCATGTTGGGTTTTTTCCTCTCTTACTTGTTTTAATTACTGCACATCTGTGTAGAGCACAGAGCCAGTATTCAGTTATTCCAGGTCTCTCAAGAACTTGCTGCCTTAGGGTGGTGAATGCTCTCTTGCTTCAGAAGGCCTTTGTTTTGTGTAGCACAGAAGAGAGAGAGACATGAATCTTCCAGGCTAGATCATGTGTTTCCATTATATTGCAGCAGAACATCAGAAAACTAGCTAGAACAGTATGTGTTTCTGCCTAACCACTGCCCATATCCTCTTAGAGAAAACACATGGATCTGTCCCATTGTTCTGGTGTTGGAAGCAGGCCTCAAATTCTCACTGTGCCATCATCTGATGAGTGTCCATTTTTATTAGGACTGCTTATATGTGTTTTCCCAAAACTGACTCACTGTGAGAAGAGTCAGGTTCAAGTAAATGACCTGTTGTCCCATGTATAGGTGGAAAAGGTTGATAAGGTTCAAAATGTTGTAAACATAAAGTTGGCCTAGTGTTGATGTGAAAAAGTAGGACATGCCTTAGAGGATGTCTCTGCAGGAAGAGGATTACGGGTAATGCTCCACTACCTGCAAATACTTTCTCCCTGCCCTCTGATGATCTGTGTTATAATTGCTGCAATCTGTCTCTTTGGTCAGTGCTTTTCTCTCACTGTTGCTTATCTAAAGCTGTCCACTGAAAACTCCACTGTGTGACATCTGCATTTCTGTTCTACCTTTTTTTTTCCCCCCCCATTTGGGGCCCCCTTAAGAAGGGAAAAGTGGATATGTTTCAAGTAAGTGATTGTTGAATATCTTGAAATGATGTACAAATTTTATTGTTTTCATATTTGTTGTACAGGATATTTCAGCACATGTCTATAATGTTTTAATGGTTTGATTTGTTTTTAAAGATATAAAAATAACAATTAAAAAGCATCATCCTAGAGCACTTTCTGTCTTATTTTTTTCTTGGGGTTTTCTTTTCAGTTCCTTTTGAATAAAATTAATTTGCTAAAAATCCCATTTCATTTAGAAGGGCTTTATAATGGATAAGGAAAGTGGGTTCCTATCCTCTGGGGTGGCACTTGAGTCGGTTCTGTACTGCAGTCACTGGAGCTCCCTTTGAAGGTGTTAATCTCTCATTCAGACTTGCCTGGCAGGACCTGGGTCTGATGTTACTGTGTCCTGGCAGTTGGTGACTTCCGTAACTACCTGGGTCTGATGTTACTGTGTCCTGACAGTTGGTGACTTCCCTAAATAAGAGCTTGATACCAGGCAAAGGATCAGGACCATCATCCAAGGGCAGTCAAAAGATTTCCATTCACTGAAGCATTGAGGGAGGACCAGTGTTTCTAGAAGTTGTTTACTTCCAGAGGAAAAAGAGTGAGGACTTTTTCATCCCTTGAAGAAGTCTTTTTGTTGGGAGGTGATGATAGAAGGGAATGCAGAAATACCTTTGCAATGTTAGAGCTGGCTGCTTGACAACAGATTACCTGTCTGTAGATGCATATAAAATTATCTCAGTTAAGTCCCTTTCTCCTAAAATTCTTAGTTCCCATTCTTGGCTGCCATCCAAATCATTCCCAAGGAGGATCACATGCCTGGAGGGTGACACTGGCACTCAGCAGCTCTCCAGTTCATCACGGGGTGCTGACAATTCACTGTAAAATCTTGTGATCCTCCATGGTAACTGCTGTGTTTTCTGTAATGACTGGATGGTGAGATGGGAAGA